AGATTTGGGTTCTGGGGCGTGACAGATTTAGTGGTATCAGAGCTTAGGTTTGATTAAGATTTAGTGGTATCAGAGCTTAGGTTGAAATTAAGAGCTTAGGTTGAAATTAAGAGTTTTGGATTAAATTAAGTACCTCCAGATTGAGTGGCATTAGAGCAGATTGAGTGATATCGAGCCTAGGTTTAATTGAATACCTAGGATTTGTTTTGGACTTGGCTAGCCAGTGGATTGTAGAATCGTGGTGAGATAACTGATGGGGTTATATAAGGGATGATTCTGATTCATGTTGCCTGAATTTTCTCATCCATTTCGATGAGATGGTGATCTGATTGTTCTTGTTTCCTACCTTCATACTTTGTGTGAAGTTGTGAAAGTAATCTTGCCCGTTATGTTCTTAAGACCTTGTATTGAAACTTGGTCATTTTCTGATTGTCCGCACTTGTTTAGGCTTGTTACGTGAATAGAATTTGTGTGCTCTTTTGCCACAATTGTGAAATCTGGGGAGTTGCAGAGACTTTTGTTATTGACTCTGTTTGTCTTTACAGCATAGCTGGTTGAGAAATTTGTTCTGTTTGTCACATGACCAGTGGAGGATGGGTAAACCCTCTACTTTGCAAGAGATTCCAGGCTATTTTAGCAAATGTTGTGTGTTTTCTAGATGTGTTTTAGGAGCTGGATTACTTGGTAATTTCGTTGCTCCTTATCTTCTGAAAGTCTTATAGTGAAGTTTCACTTTTTCCATTTGAAGCTTCATGGTCTTTTCATGTGGCTCACTTTTCCATATTGGTTAATCAAGAGTAGTGATCATTCAATTGAAATTGCCTTGTTTTTGTGAAGATTGGCAAGCTGTCATAAAGTTAAACTCTCTATTGTTGCCAATCTCTACATTCTTGATACTTGGAATTGCTTGAAACTCATGAATCATCTTGAATCTTTCTTGAGATTGCTTTGTACTTATTCTTGAAATTGAAATCCAGAAATGGATAATGATTATCGAAATCTTCATTATCTTGATACTTGTCTGAAATTAATTCTTGCACTGTTTTTGGAATCTAGTTTGAATTGTCCTTGAAAACCATTCTTGTTCTGACTCTGGTTCTTGCTCAAATTCCGTATACTGCTCTTGCTCAATTCCGCATATTCTGCTTGTTCTTGTTTCTGTATACTTCTTGATCTTCTTGATTCTTGGTTTTTGTTCATATGGACACCCCTTTAGGAGGGGTGACGATTATCAAAAAATATCTATATGAGGCATCCTCATTCTTGTCTCTTGTAAGTGTTAATCTCTGTATTCTTGATGCCTTAGCTTTGGCTTGACTTTAGGATGACCTGACTGTAAATCTGCTTAGCCTCCATGAGCTACGAGGTGAAGGGTTAGTCCTTGAAATACTTGATGCCCTAGAGTTTTGTTCCAAGTGAAATGGTTCTTTTATCTGGCTGCTTGGATTTTTGTTTGCCCTTTTAATTAGAAGACATGAATCTTCTAAGCATCTTGATCTCAGCCATTGCTTTGTTCTGTTAATTAATTCGTGTTACTTGGGGTGCTCGATCTTGACATCCTGATTGTAATTGCTCTTGAATCCGTGTTCTGTTTGTCATTATTGAAATCTCTTTTGTGGGCTTAATCCTTGAATTCTATTGTTTGTTTCATGGTTAACTCTTGTCTCTCAATTTTGACTGCTTGGTTAAATTTGATCTTGATTCTTGGTGAATGCCGTTTTGTTGTTGAAATTTTTGAGACATTCTACCTTGTACTTCCAGTATGCTTCCAAGCATTCATATTTTCCATTGATTTTATTCTGTTGCAGTTCTTGAGATTCTTACATGTCTTTTGATGGTCCAGCTTTTAACTCTTGTTAATTGCTAAAATCTGTCTCTTGATTCCAATTGCTTTGTTAAACATGACCTTATTGGCTAACCTTGCTTTGTGACAGAATGTATAAGGCATCCATGCACTCGTTCATTCATTCATGATCCATATATCCATTGGATGCTTATTCGTCTTTGATAAGAGTTCAAAATTTTGTTGTGCTCGTCATTAAATCCATGCCATTCTTTGCCGACTCGTCTTGTGTTGGGTTCGAAGCGTAACCCCACAATTGTTCTTTTGTGGCTTTGGCAGGATTTATTTTTATTCCTTGTGTTTCCCATATCACCCCAACCTCTAGTAACTTGTTTCATGGTAAACCCTGTTAAGTAGCTAGTGTCCTACTTTTATGATTAGTTGTGGTTTGTTATCAGAGTGGCGCAGCGGAAGCGTAATAGGCCATGTTCTGTTCCTAGAAAGTGATGAGGCAATTGTTTTGTCTCGGATTGTGTGAAGCCACTCACCACTTGATATGGTCCTCAATTTGAGTTTTGGGGACAAAACTCCTTTTTAGGAGGGGTGAGT